TGTGTGTGTGTGTGTGTGTGTGTGTGTGTGTGTGTGTGTGTGTGTGTAAGGGGGAAAACGAAAGGGGCTTATTTCCTCGTATTAACCCGGGCCGACCCCTGTCCCTCCTCTCCTGTTTTTCTCTCTCTGTCTCACCGATCTTCTCATTTTTCTTCTACTTCTTGATGCTTTTCTTCAATTCTTCCCGCCATCCCTGACTATTGGGATGAGCTCCTTTTTTTTTTCTTCCTTCCCAGCATTCCCTCCACCGTTGTTTATCTTTTCATTCTCCCTTCAGCGCTTTCTTTCTCAACGGAAAAGCCGCCAGGTTCATTGCTCCCGCTCTCTTCCATCCATCTCTCTTCCCTTCCTCTGCCTCGTTCTGATTTCCAATCGCGGTTCATTAGGTTCGGTGGATTGGCTTTCTTCCTGCAGCACACGCCTCTGCCACCCAAGCTGATTGGCTTTCATTCCGGACAAAGGGTGGTCTGCACGCGCGGCCGCGCACTCCCCAAACACACACTCGTCTCTGCTCCATCCCACTGAGGACCCACTCCAATGCCCACCGCTATCTGGCTCCTATCTCCATCTCTGGCCTTCCTCCATTTCAATCTGTTTTTCTTTTTTTTGTCCGTGTTATCTCTCTGGTTCTATTCATCCCTTCCCTCTCCAAAGTGCTCGGAGCTGAAACAAGGTAGTTAGTAGAGCTCCTGTGTGTGTGTGTGTGTGTGTGTGTGTGTGTGTGTGTGTGTACATGTGTAAAGATTGCAGGAGCTCCGATCACACACGAGACCTCAGACGCCGACCCTCTCCACACGTTTTGTATTCAAACAGCCAATTGCTTCTGTTTAGTTTTTCTTTTTCCCCGGCTGGAGAGTTTCCCACACGTCGGAGTTCACGGCCACACGTTACCGAGCTTTCAGCTGCGCCGCGGAGCAGGTTGGCTTTTATTAAACGCCACTTGACATGAAGAGAGGTGATCTTCTTTTATTGACCCTGCGTGCCTTTTGGCAAATAGTCTGTTGACTCAGAGCTCACACACGGAAATCCTGCTGAATAGCGGAGCCACTGACACTATAGCTGTACCTGAAAGCACCACAAAGAAGAGTAACCCCGCTGTGTGTGACAAGAATAAAACACCAATAGGTAACTTATTCGTGACAGTACGACTTGAGGCTTTCATCTATGCGATCAAAACATGCATGCATCATTTCCTGTGACTCCCTCGTGCTTGCACTGCTTTATAGAGAGATAATTACTGAAGGTTAATACAATCAATGATTATTGGAGACGAAATACAGACCATAAAAAGTATCAAGAAGTGGGTGGTGTCTGAAATATCAAGTGTGGAAACACAATCCAGCCAGCGGTGTCCTTCGGAGCCATAACAGAGGCCTAATAGTCCGACAGCCTGCGAAGCACATTCCTACTTTCAGAGGCTGAGAGGTCGAATGTGACAACAGATCCGTCTCATGAACTGTGTGTCTCTGTCTCACCACGTCTCTCAACCTCCCGATCCACCTCTGAGTCCTCTTCTACTTTTCTCTTTCTTTTACTTCCCTTTTTTCTTTCCCCGTCTCTCACTTTCTCACCTCACTTCCATATATAGGAGTTTCTCGACAACATGCAGCAGTGCCATGCCTCCGCGTTTTTTTTAGTTTTTTTTAACGAATACACTTAGATTATGAACACACGTATAAAACGCTGAGAGACATTTTTAGCCCTCCGCTGTGGAACGAGGAGACAGATTTGGCTGCTGGCCATGCAGACTTCTATCTCTCCTCCACAGGAAAAGGAAGCTTTTCATTATCCGCCAGGGTCATGTAGCCTGGAGTAGTTTCTCCTCCCAAACTTTTTATTTTTATGTGCACAAGAAAGGCATTTCTGAGTCTTTGTCCCGGCTGCTACAGATGTTTCTCTGCGGGTTTTTTCTTTCTTTTTTTTTGCTCTCGCTGTTTTTCCTGACACGCCCTATCACCCGTCATCTTTCTCCCTTCCATATTCTCCATTCCTCTCATTTTCTCTCGCCCTCACCCATCCGTCCGCCAGGGAAAACTGACCCCATAAAAAAATGAAAAGGATTATTTAAGAGAAATCTGTAGCGGCGTAATGAAAACCTATTATTGTTTCCAACGGTGCGCGGCCTGTGGCGGCCGACCACAGTCCCGTTTAGTTAGATTGGCTGGTGGTGGTTGGTCTTTCTTCCCTTTTCCTCCTCTTTATTATGTCTCTCATTGTCTCACCTCTCTCCGTTCTCATTTTCTCCCACAAGCGCAATATCACTAGTTCTTCTTATATCCCTGCTTCTTTTTCATTTCCTCTCTCAGTCCGTGTCGTCCCTCGCTCGTCCTCCTCTGTCCCGTGATACTTCTGAGTCGTTTACAGCATGTGCCAGCACCAGTAGATGCAACTAAAACCAATTACAAAGCAGCACAAAGCTGCTCCGTATTCCAGCGTGTGTGGCGAGTGATAATATGAGCTGCTAACTGTGTGGGTTGTCTTTTTTTTGGGTTGTTATAGTGGCGGATGAGAGCAACGTGAGATCCCTGGCCGGGCAGAGGAACGGTAAGTGTTTGATCCACGTTTCCCTCCACCTCCCACAATGCAACAGTTACGAAATATATGAAATTGACCTTCTGCGGGAAGATTCTCATTTTCTCCGTCGTCTTCTCGAACGTTGCTTTATAGTTTACTCCCCCTCCCTCCGCTCCACCCGGCTGACAAAGCTGAGTTGTGAAGCACTTAGTGTCGGAGCTCTCGCTGCTTTATAGCCGTCCAGGTCAGCAGGCGCTCGGTGCTCAATCCTCACCCAGCAGACAGCAGCCGTATAGCACCGCAATGGCTTCTGCCTCGGTTCCGCCTTGTTTTATTTGAGAAAAGTCTGGTTAGTGCTTTAACTGAGAGACAGTGGTGGTACACACTATATGTAATTCACTCCCAAGGATTGAAGCACTTTATGCTGGAAGGAGCAGCCCCTCTCACATTCATTTTCACATCCTGTTTGCGTGTAAATACCCAGAGAAATGCAAGCAGGAAAGCCCCAACCTTAACATATTGTCATTTCCTGCTCGTCAGACATCATAAAACAGGCCGCAGAATTAGCAATCTAATGATATCAAAACACACATTTGATTAAATGAATTTATTAATGGATTCACTGTGAGAGAGAGGGGGCAATCAGGCGTCCCTGGCGCTCACAGCGATCTGTAATTAGAGCTTCAAAATAAGTTTTAGAATCCATCAGCAGCCAGAACACTGCTCTTCCTCGACGTCCCTCTGGTGCACCAGGTGCCAAACATCGGCCACAGATCGTGGCGCTTAATGAAGAAAAGGCGCCACCTCAACAGATACATGAATCACAGCAATGTAACCAAGCGCTGCTGACGACACCAAAGGAAAAACATTTGTTTGCGAAGATATTGTGGCTTGTGCACAACCGGTTCCACTTAGTCAGATGCTCCGGCATTTGCTTCTCAGCGGCCAACTCCGTGTGGTCGCTCCGGGCTTCTGCATGAATATAAATCAGAGTGTTGCACACAGCGGGCGCGCTCGGTTGACCGTGTAGATCGGCAGCGTAGCTTCATCGCATCTCGCTCAGAAACGCCCAGTGTATTTTTAATGTGGCAACAAGGCTTATGTAATTAAGGAGTCTGGACCAGCATTTTAGTCCTGGTGTTGGCTCCCTCTCTGCCTCTGTGTGACACACACACACACACACGTACACCGATCTCTTAAATCCACCTGCAAGAAGACAACTAAGCCTGTTGCCGGTGGAATACAAATGGCCCGAGCACCCCCGGTGACCTCAAATCCCCCACACTCAGCATTCACACAAGTGGCTTCCTCCTCCTCCTCCTTATGATATGATTTTCCTGGCATTTCTGATCAGCACCCAGAACCTTCATGATATATAAAGTGATCCATTTCTCTGCTGCAGCATTCCTTCTTTTTCCCCCCCTTGACATCTTAGCTAATGTGTATTGACGGGGCTTTTGCGTGTTTTTCATTTTTGCTGACGCAGTGTATTCGCCTAGCTTCCTGCGCCCCCCCCCCATCCTAAATAGCCTCAGTGTTTCTTTATGGGCTTTGACATATTTCATTAGGCGGATGGTCTTAAGAGGCCTGCCTAGCTTCTTTAATCTGGCTAAAACCCTTTTTCTCTCTGGCTAGAGCCGCTGTGAGGAGCGCTTCACTCCTCTTGCTCCATCCTTTTCTCTGTCACTTTCTCTCTCTCTCTCTCTTTTTTCTTCCTATTTCCGCTTTCATCTTTGCCACCAATCTCGTTCTTTCCCAGTCGCTTCTCTCTTGATTATTCTCTTCCTCTTTGTCGCCGGGGTCATCCCCATTTTTAGCATCCTCTCAATCCCAAACCGTCGTCTCCCTTTCTTCTTTTCTCTCCCTCCGTCTCTCCTACATCCGATTCTTCTCTTCATGCTCACTCTCATTCTCTTTTCTCTCAACAGGTTGATCCTTTTCTATTCATTCGCTCGCCTTTCTCTCTCTCTCTCCCTCTCTCCATCCTCTGCGGCTGTATCTGTTCCAGCCTCATGCGATTACGTGGAACGTGCTCCAGTCTCTTGAGCTCCCTCCTGCACACACACACACACACACACACACACACACACACACCAGTGCCATTAGTCTGTTCACTTTAAAAACCAGCCGGCTTCTTGCCAGCGCTGAAGCCTCTGCTTTGTTTTCGCACTCTTTGTTTGTCGATTGAAGCTAAAAGTCACCACCCGATTCAGGGAATCACGGCCAATTCTGCTCTTTTCATGCAGTCAACATGTTCGGCCTCGAAGGGCGACCAGGTGTGATTTGTGACAAAGCGACACGGGTTGCTGCTCATTAACTGGCGGAGCATCATTTGGGTTTGTTGGGCTCCAAGTGCTTTTTGGATCCTATCTGATTATCCTCCGGTTTTGATTTCACCCACAAAGCCCTCGACCCCGCCAACATGCAGACCGTGTTAGAGGCGTAGCAGTCGATGCAGGTATGTGCGCACTGTGCAGTTCTCCCTCCAATGGCGTTTACAACATGGCACATGCCCCCCCAGCCCTCATCCGTACTCTGCCAACCCCCTGAGCTGCCGCGATCCAGCAGAGGCAGGCAGTAATTATGAAATGGCCTTTTAAGTCCCCTCCGGTTATTAAAGCCATTCATCTCGTCGTAGGCCGGATACATAGGGGCCCATATGTCCCCCGTTCCCCTCATACATCCAAACAGCTAAACCCAATTACTGCCAGAGCAGCGCCTCCGTCCAGCTTCATCATCTGCCCCCTGATATAGCTGAGTGCATTCAGATAGTGATGGAGGGACGCTCGCTCATCGGACGGGTCTTTAATCGGAGTGGAGTTTTGATCGGCCACAACATGAATTGGATTTGCTTCCACTGGCTATCCGGATGTCTGAAGTGATTTGGTTTGACGTGGAGTTTGCGGTATGATAAGAAAACATTTAGACTACGAGGGACAGAGCATTAATGACATTCTGTTCCTCCCAGCTTCCTTAGCGTTTAGAGAACTGGACCAGCTCTTATCACGGCTCATTTTGGATCCTTATTTTTGTCAAGAAGAGAAATATAGAACAGTGCCACACACATGCGTCATTCCACTCGTGCCCTTTACTCTTTAGACGTCTCGCATGTCGTCACAGGTTTGCTCCAATAAAGCTTTAAAAGCCTGTATTTAATCTGAGTTGGAGCTATGAAGAGACCTTTGTGTGTTCTGTCCAAGTCTTACTAGAACCCATTCGTGGTTTGTTAATGTCTGTTGGTCATTCAGGCTTTTTAAAGCTCCTCTTGAATGAGACGACAGAGCAGGGGCTGCTCTATCCCTTGTAACAGTGTGTTTAATGCTGCTGTTGGATTAAATTCAATAACCTTTATTGAAAAGGGGGCGACACTGAGAGCAGGCTTTCTTTTTACAGGTGTGTGTGTGTGTGTGTGTGTTTATAGAACAGAGCAGGTCAGAGCCTGTTCTTTTTTTATTGGCCTGTCCTGAGATTGGATATTAGATGGAAGTGTGTGTGTGTTTATGTCTTACATGTGTGTTTTTGTAAGCATATCGTGTGTGTGTGTGTGTGTGTGTGTGTGTGTGTGTGTGTGCTCTCTGTACCCGATTTAAAGAACTATGTCCAGAAGCAACAAACCCCTTTTCCCTGTTTGCTAAAGTGTCTCCTTGGCAACTCACTGTCACCCTTCACACACACACACACTTTCTCCGTACCACCCCCAGCAGTTTTGATAGGGGGGGGGGGGCACTTGCTTGTAACTGTGGCAACCTTTCAGCCAGTGTGCTGCAAAAGCTGCTTGCTGTGAAGCACATTGTAGTCCAGTTGATAGGTAAGTGTTAAGACCCTGCTGAGACACTGTGGGGGGGGGGGGGGGGGGGGGGGGGAGTGTGGCAGGGCGTGGGGGGGGGGGGGGGGGGGGGGTGGGGGGCAGCAGTGTGCCAGGGCTTGTGTTGGGAAGAGTGTGTGTGTGTTTTGACTGGAGCAACAATGTCAAATTGAACATAAATACGACAAAATCCTGTTTTAATTGTTTGGTGTTCACCATCTGGTTGATTGGATAGTGTAATTATCTGTGTGTGTGTGTGTGTGTGTGTGTGTGCGGCGTGTTAAGTTTGCACGGCACACACAGTCTGTACGGCAAAACCTATAATTTTGACATCTCCGAGTTCATTGATTCTTTTGTTCATTGGGCGAAATAATTACAGAGTTGTGTGCAGGCAACTTTTATTCACGTGTTTTTTTTTTTTTTGGGCGGGAAAACACACATTCCAGAGCCAGAGCCAGATTATTACGTTTTAATCAACCACACAAAAAAAGATCAGCGTTCATACTGTTGGACCACCGGGACATAGAGAGAGCGAGAGAGAGAGGTGTTCGTCCTTGAAGGGCCCGTCGGCACAGCGAGACCCCAAGGCTACGTCTCAGGCAAAGACTTGGCTGCTGTCTCCTCCACAGCAGACACGACAGCCTTTCACTGAAGTACAGCGATACACGGATCACATGCAGAGGTGTGTGGCAGGTGCACGTTGTGGTGCATGTGTCTCTGCGCTCGCATCTCTGAGCAGATATCTGTGGATGAAGTGGTAATTGGCAGGTTCTTTGTTTTCCACATTTGTTTGGCATTATGTTCTTACACATTTCCCAGAAGTCCCTTCTCCATCAAAAGTTGAGTAAGTGTTGTTTTATGTTTTTTTTTTCCCAGTGTAAAGTTTTCTTTTAACAATATTCTCAATGTTCTTCAACACTGGAGTCTCGTGGATAAATGAATGGCACCACACTGCACCGTAGCTTTGTGTTCCGGTTGTCATTTTTAATTATGTTGCCGCAAAAATCGGGACCGAAAAACCACGCAACAGTGACTTAATACATGAATTATTCATCCATGATGCAACAGTGAACTGGTTTGTGTGCTGAACGTATTATCAGATATCTACAAAGAGTCATATTTAGAATCACTCATCAGACGCTCTGTAATTAGATGTTTCTCGCTGAAATGCACCTTGGGAGTTGTACATGACTTCCCTTCTGAAGTTTAAATGTACTCAAAGAAC